AGGGAACAGCGCCACGTCTATTGTGCCCACGCTTACTGTAATCATGCCAATCCGCCCTGTGATGCCACTCTTCGTAGGGGGCGATACTACTCTCTGGATCCTGCCACTGAGCCGTTTATTCAGTAGTACTGCCAGTCCACACGAGTTGTTGACGCCAGCCGCCTTTCCCCACCCAAATTGGATACATTGATGGTTCGGCAGCTGGCATTTCGTGTAATCGTCGTCTCGCGCCGCCCTGCCCGTCCCTATAGCCACGTAGACGTCGATGTGGGCCGTCTGCATCGAAATCTCCTCGAGGCGGGTGTAGTCCGCCCACTGCACGTTGTGGTACACTATCTTCATGCCTCGTTCCTCGGCGGTGAAGCGGGTGTGGCACAGCACGCAATACAAGAAGGATTGGGTAATAAACATCAAAAACGGCGGGGGTACGGTAGCGGACTGCTGAGTGGAATTTTTCTGTTCCGCCCTGAGCGGCCCCGTCCCGTCGAGCGCCCTGTGTTCCACACGTCAACGTTCTATGGTGACTGTGTTTGGGGGTAGGCCGCTCGCGGGTGTCTGGGCCGTGGCGGCGGCTGGAGGAGGAGGAGGAGGAGGAGGAGGAGGAGGAGGAGGAGGAGGCATGTTTAACATGCCATGCCAGCCCGCACTGGACGAGCACGCGATCGACCTTGGAAACCGCAGTGGGTCTAAAAACCCTGTTTGGGGATACTTCACTCCGGCTATAATTGTTTGCTGCTGCTGCTGCTGGTGGGAAATTTGCGCAGTCAGCTGGTGTACGTGAGGAAACTGCGTTCACATAAATCCCACCATGCGGCCGTCAACCATCTTTCATCGTTGCTGTCGTAGTGGAAATATCGCCGTGGGCGGGTGGCTTGGTTGGTGTTGCTCTGTGTGGTTTCGTCGCCGGCGGTCTGATGCAAGCTCTGCAAAAACTCTCGTACGTCGTCGTCCCTCCGCTTTTGTTGGCCACCGTGCCGCCGACGACCCTGTTATTGCGCCACGACCCGGCGCCCGGCGCCACGACCCGGCGCAGCTGCCATGGTCCCCGCTGGCGGGCGGCCACGCCAGCATGCTCAGGTGCAGACCCGTCCACCCCTGAGCGGCCTCCTCTTCCCGCCCCCTCCGCGGCCGCCTCGCCTCCCCGTGTTCCCCTCGCGCACGCTGGCCAATTCGCTTTACGGCACCCCCATCCAGCTCCTCACTGGAGCAGCAAGCTCTGCCTCGCCGCCGACCATACAAGAGAAGGGGTCCAATTCAACGCTCGATGCGTCCATCGGTTCGGTGGGTGGATTGCTACGCCCGCGGCCCAGCGCCAGACTCTTGTTCGGTGTATCTGGCCTGCGTCAGAGGCGTCTTGCATGCTCATTGGCTCCTCAGCCCGGCGCGGGTGCTTCGGCGGACCAGGTCGGACCGCAATTGCAGGAGGAGGAGGGGGAAAGAGGTGCGTGGGCGTTCATCGAAGCGGTGACTGGACCCAAACTTCGAATAGGAGATCGACTGCAGGATGGATGCACACCAGCAGTGACTTGCCCGTCGAGCCCACGAACGAATGCGCAGAATGCTCCGCAGATCTACCCCCACGTGTGCCTATGTTTCGAAGATTCGACGGGAAGTTAATTTTGGGGCACATTGATTCTGCAGCCGATCCCCTACTCGAAAACTTGAAGGCCAGAGAGACTGCGCGGTTCTGTTCCAGCCAACGAGGGCCAGGGGCAGCTGAAGACAGAGGTCCCAAAGCAGCCGGTGGCCCCGCCCGCCAGGAGGACGAGGACGAGAAAGAGTCCCAGGGACACACAAACAAACAGACGCAAATCCCAGGGTGTCGAACGTGTTTCCACATTTTCTTTATGTTCCCTGTCCCCCCACTTCCCATAGTTTCCCACATTTCCTGGGGTCGACGATTCTTTGTCTATTTCTATTTTTCCCTCCTGAGAGGAGGAGAAATCTGGTTCAAATCTCAAGCCCTTCGAGACCGTTCAGGAGGAGGAGAACCGCATCTTGAAGAGGTCTCTCGAAAAGCTCCAGAGACAATCGCAAGGAAAAGGTCTCACGAAAAGCTCTGGAGGCACACGGCCCGGGTTGAGCACGGGTACCAGACGATGATGGAGCCTCGCATCACGCCGACGTCAGCGCACTCTCCGCCACCGCACCAGTACGCACACCAGCGCAGAGGATGTCAGAGGTCAGCAAAGTGAGCGTTTTCTTCTTCGGCGTTTCGACATCGGGCGGAAGGGGGGGTGGGAGGAGGGGGGGTCTGGTTCCGGACCTCTGATTGATGGGACTGTTTGCAGCAGTGCGTCCCATGGGGGAGACTCCACCTGCGTGAAACATGCGCCAAAAACAGCCAAGATCTAATTACTCCATGGGGGGAGGGGGGAAGGAGGTGCGAGGGCCAGCGTCGATCGGCAAAACAACGAAAAAGAAAACGATCACAAGTGGCCCCGCTGTTTCGGGGGAGTGCCGAGGCACTCTTCAGCGCAGAGGGGGTACATTTTCGCCTCCACCTCGCCAGGCCCTCACGAGGCCCGTTTCTGCGCGCCCTCATGCCGAGGGCATCGCTGACCCCGCTGGCCAACTGGGCTGCGGGGTCTTAGCCGCCGCGAGCGGGCCAACAACGCGCGGCACGCAGAAAGGTACATCGGGCCGTTTTTCAATGCAAAGGCCAACAAACATGACATCTTTTGCCTTTGGGGAGAATCCTGCGCGGGTCAGCAAAGGGAAGAGCGATGGCCGCACCCACTAACATGCCCCCGGGATCCGCGCTGCAGGAAGCCGCGATGGCCCCGCCTCACCTGCGCAGAGTTCGGTCAGCCGAAGACTTCCGCCCCCGAGGACGTTACCGGACAGGTGGCCCTCGCCCGTTCCATGCGCCGCTCAGACTCTCAGAGGCACAGACCTCTGAGCCTCAGAGCCTCTGAGCCTCAGAGGTTGTGCCTCTCAGCCTCAGAGGCACAGACCTCCCAGCAAACGCTGTCTTCCGCCGGCCACCCCTCCACCCCTCCGAGACAGGGCGGCAAGGCTCGCAGCCGGAAGCCAAAGGCCTGGCTCGATCGCGTAGGAGACGAACGCCGCGGGCAGAAGGGGCGCCAATGCATCGTCGCACATATGCCCCACGCTCGCAGGATGCCCGCACACCGAATTACGATCTGCCTCGTTGCACCTCAACGCAGCCTGGAGAAACAGCGTGGCCGCGCCCAAGCCGGAGAGAAGGGGAGGGTGAAATTGGGGGGGATGAAAGAAGGAGGGATCGGAAGGACGGAGGGATCAGGGAGGAATTTGGGGAGGGAGGGAGGGAGGGAGGGAGGGAGGGGTGGATGGGAGGCCTCGGGATAGGAGGGGAGGGGCAGACAGGGAGCGAGGAGAAACAGGAGGACGACGACAACGACGACCACTGTCCAAAACAGGCATCACAAACAATCGGAATACACAGGTGGGTGGATACGGTGTCCGCCGATTGGGTCGAATATTGCTGTCTGCAACAAGGCGCCTTGGAAGCCAGCGCCGAGGGCGACCTTGGCGGGGCGAGAATTGGCAGGGGGGAAGTGGACACCACAGCACAGAACAGGTTCTGAAAACCACCGTAAACAAACAATGACGAGGCATGATAGGAACCCAGCTCAGGCAAAAAGCAAGACATGGCATGACATATTAAGGCGGCACTGGATGAGGCAAGAGATGGCAGGGCAAGACAGAAGCAGACATATGTCTCGAATGCTCAGCACACGAGTCAAGAGAGCACAATGTTGGACAGAAGAAGACTGCACGTTTCATTTCCCGACAGTAGGAGAGAACAAGGATAGACCAGGACAGGAGACGCCATCTATCCTAAATATGGCATCCCTGGCGCCGCCCCTGTCGCGCTCCGCCCGCCAGTGGAGGGGGGTCAGCGACGACCAAAGCAGTCCACGCGGATCTCCGTAAGTGTATGTTTGAGCTGTTGGTTGTTCCTAGATAACCTCTCCAGTCCCAGTCATGCGCTCTGGCGTCTACCTCACCACCCTCTCCCAAAAATCTTATGTGCACATGCTGCCTTTGCCAATGCAGGGGGTGAGAAGGTGATGAGTTGACCACCAGTAAGGCATCTGACCACCCACAGCCCGAAACTCCGTGCCCGTCCGCCACTACTGCCCGTGGCGCGTGATGAAACGAAGACCACGCCCTCCCCCCCCCTGCGCCCCCGCTGCTGAAAGATAGAATCCCCCTCCGAGGTGGTTCGTCGATTCGCCACTCGGACCTTCGGAGGACCGCCAAAGAGATCCAGAGCCGCCGTGTCAAGGCTCTCCTCGAACTCCAGCCTCTGGCGAACGGGGCCCCTGCCCCCACGCCTGCCCTCACAGGGCTGCCACAGCAGGGCGCACGACACCCGCAGAGCGCAGCGAAGAAGCTGCATCCCGGAGGCGGGCGGCGGGAATGGTCAGCGACTCTGGTCGGGGGCGGCCAAGAGGGGGGCGTCCAAGAAGGGGGGGGCGCAAATCATGGCCAGCGGCATGTGCGCGGCCCAGGGGGAGGGGGCCAGGGACATATTGAGCTAAGAAGACGCGCCCTGCAATCTGGGGAGACATCAGGGCCCCCGCCACGGTATCCACACACCCCTAGTCATCACCCCCCTCTGGACCGCACCCGATCTGGCGAAGGGCACAGCCCCACTCTGTGCGACTTCAGGACAGAGGGGGGGGAGGCCCAGAGGTGTCCTTGGCCCGAGGTGCCCCCGGCTCTTCGCTCCATCCTGGCGCCCCCATGGGGCCCTCTGGGCCTCGTGGGCGGTGCCCTGGAGGCCCCGGCGCCTCCCCGGAAGTCCTGGGGACACCAAGGACCAGGGACACCTTCGGCAGCCCACGACCAGTGGAGGAAGGCGTTGCAGGGGGCGCGGACCAGAGGAAGGAGCGGAAGGAGCCGAAAGAGGAGGAGGAGGAGGAGGAAGATAACACGGACGAAGGAGGCGAGGCTGGCGCTCGCGCCGCTGCCCGCGGCCGCGCCACGCCCGCACCGGATGCCGGCGATCAACCAATCACGCCTCCGCCGCCGCCCCCTTCACGGTCCTGGTTCCACTGCGCGATCATGGCGCGGCGCTCCTCGGACGTCTGGCGAGCAGGAGGAGCTCCGTCCTTGTCACCACCGCCGTCGCCGCGATCCTTCTTCTCCTTGTCGCGACGCCGGCTGCGGCTGCGCTCGCGGTCCTTGTCCTTGTCCTTCTTGCGGTCCCGGTCCCTGTCCTTGTCCTTGTCCTTGTCCTTCTTGCTTCCCCGGGTCTGCCCCAAGTACTCTGGGTGGTCGTCGTACATCTCGCGCACGACGCGGCGCTTGATGGCACGAGGGATGTGCTTGATGTGCATGAAATTGCAGTAGGCCCCTCGGTTGCAGCGGGTCTCGTGGAACGCGCGACAGCGCGCTTCGCGGAAGTCTGACACTGTGGTGTACTCGGCCTGCATGAGCTTTCCGCTGTAAAAGCGCCCAGTCAACTTCATGAGAGCTCGCTCGGCGTCCTCCTCGTGGTAGTACTTCACGTACACGTTTCCGATCATGTGATCGCAGAGGTTATCGACCACGACCAGATCTTCGATTTCACCGTAGTTGGCAAGCTCCAGGAACACCTCGATGTAAAACGCCTGCAGGGGCTGTCGGAGGTCTGTGCGGGCTTCTTGGATCGGCTGTGTACCCCGCTTCCCGGGCGCGTGGAGCGCCATGGCGCCGATCCAAGATTTCAGCGCGGAGCTCCGACAGTTTCTGTTGATGCTGTTCTTTCGGCTTCAATGTTGCCCTGCTTGTGATGCTTATGCCTCTGTTTCTGCTTATGAAAAGTATGCCTTGCTTGTACTTATATTCAGCGCTAGGATTGCTACTCGCATTATTGATTGTAAGTATTGGTAGTATGGTTCGTGTTTCATGTGTCTTCTTATGTATACCCATCTGAACAATATCGTTCGTTGTCGTGCTCTGTCTGTTTCGAACAAATACTGTTATGAGAGGCAGTCGTATTATTCGAGCGCCTCCAGGTGCTGCTGAGCGCGGTCGTACATGTCGTCGTCCCAGGGCTCGTCGTTAGCGAGGGCGAGCGACTCTGGCGTGTTGGGGTACATGTGGGACAGCAGGAGCGTCTGGCTCATGGTTGGCCTGCAGAGTCGGTCAATATCGGTTCGGAAAATTCGACCGAATCGGAATGTGAGCCAGAGCGGACCGTATCGGCACGGATTGGAAATCGGATCGGATCGGCCGCGACAGGATGCACAACAGCGCCATGCAAGCACCGGGCCGCATCGGACCGTCGCAACATCAGATCGAATCGGATCGGGCCCGCCGATGTCGACATCGAATCGGACCGATCAGATCGACATGGACCCTGGCCTGTTGTGAAGGCGATTGCACTGGTCTCCATTTCGGCAGGCGCCAATCTTGAAGTAGAACGGGCAGTTCACGCGGTCCTCCTCTGTCCCGAAGATGCGGGCCAACTGCTCCGCCATGCCTCCACTGGCAAGACTGGGCCCCCCGGGGGGGCGCGGGCCGGATCAAAACGCCCCTCCAAGCTCGGCGGTCTTGGCCAAAATGGCTGTGGGGGAGGACGAGGGCGGTTACGACGAAGGGAATGAAGAGGAGGAGTAGGAGAAGGAGGAGGACGAAAAGGAGATGGGGCGACGACTGCAAGGTGGTGTTCGACGGATGGGACGCGGGAACTGAGGGCACCACTCATCCGAACAGGTGTTAAGCTGAGGTTTGCCGTCTGATTTGGGCTCCAATGGAAGATATCGGGATGCAGGATGTTGATGAACAGAGGATGCCTTGGCGCATGTCGAAGTATGCGGCTGAGCGGCGAGGCTACGAACCACATTGACATTGTGGCAACATTGAGGCCGACAAGTTTGCCGAAGAGTGTGCCAACGCGCATCTCATGAACTATCACCCGTGTGATCGGCTGCGGGTGGCTATTCGCAGGCTTGACCCTCAGCAGGGCCATCCTAAGTCTCATCTTTTTATGAGCGGGCCATGCGCGAGGCCAGCCATCACACCAGCCCTCTGCGCGCAGGTGGCTTGGAGTGTGTCGTAGCCTCCCTCCAACAGGCCTCCAACAGGCCTCCCAGACCGCCCCGAGACGGCTCCAAGCGGTCACGGAGCCTCCACAGGAGGCCCCCGAGAGACCAAAGTCATGCTCCAAAAACCATATGGCAATTCAGCGGTGTGTGCATTCGCGCCGTTTTGTGTCCGATCAGCGTTTGAGGCCTCAAGATGGGTGCAACATCGCCCAAGAGAGCCCCAAGACGGGCCCAGGAAGGCTCCAAGACGGCCCCAAGAGCGCCCATGAGCACACCGAGACGGCTCCACGAGATGATTGTTGGGCATCCAACGGGGCTGCCGTAAGTAGTGCCGCCCTCCCCTTCTTTGGCGATTGTCAGCCCAAGATGGCCACAAGAGTGCCCGCAAGAGTCCCCCAAGAGGGCCTCCAAGACTCCCAACAGGGCCCCTATAGAGCCCCAAGATGACCCCAACGGGCCTCCATTAATTACATGCTTGCATCACTGGTTGCTTTTCTAATTTCCTCTTGCCAACGGCTCGCCTGGGCATCGCTTCTGGATGGGCTTGTGGGGATGCACGAAGCGTCAAGATGTGGCAGCAGCAGAATGAGCAGATGCATTTTGGCCTTGAGCCAGAATGTGACAACGACAGTACATCCTTCCCTGAAACACGTACGAACAATCCTGGCCTCCCGTGAGCTGGAATGTTGGGCTTCACGGGAAAGAACATTATGCTAAACCTATATCGATAAAACAGGAGCGTCTCCACATGGATGAGACTTTCTCCTAGGTTTAACACCCCAAAACAGGATACAGCAACTGTACATGCAAATCAGTGATCAGGGAGAGAGCGGTGAGGGAGGAGAGAAGAGAGAGAGCCCGGGTCTCTTGACTCCGACACCGCTGGGCTGGACTGGAAATCGGCCCACGATATGAGCCTGGAGTCTTGATCCAACATCCTCCGAGATGCTGCCTGAGATCGGTCCTTACTCCCTGATTGGTTCCTCCTGCGGGATATCTCCCCAGCCTCGTCTATCAAAACTAGCTTGCCTGTCGCAAGTAAATTGGACAATGCTGCATTGCCCTTGCTGATGTCGTCCTTCGTGAGACAGTCCACAGGCATGCGGCCGTGCGGGATCCACCGAATAAAACCTCGAGCCCCCTCCAGGGCCTGGCACACGGCGGCTAAGTCAAGCGCCGTGCGACGGTCGCGGGCACTAGCATTCCCTTCCTTCAGCATCGTATCGTAGATACTCTTCGCATCCACCACGTGAACCTGATCTTCCCGCCCGCCTAGTCGGCAGTCCCTACGGAGTACCGTCGTAAACGGACCTGAACACCGGGACATGTCTGACACATCCACATCTCCGAAAACCACGTCTCTATACAAGACCTGGAGAAACTCTACTTCCGCCACTGCCGCCGAGAGAGCCTGAGTCTCGCCGGCCAGAGTAGACGTGACTTTTCTTCTGAGCTTAGAACTTCGCCATCCCAGGGTGGACGCGCGAACAGCACAGTTATCTATCACGCTCTTATCGGTCGCTAAGACCATCCAAGCCCCCTGAGTTGGGTCGGCGGGGAGCCCCTGGTGGTCCAGAAGTCCTTCGTTGGCTCCTACACCCCCCGCATCAGAAAAAGAAACGAACGCCATCCGTTCCGGGTCCAAACGCCAAATGATGAGGCCTCTCGAGGCCGTAGCACGGAGATGCCTCACCATCTTATTCGCAATGGCAACGTCCCCCGTGGTGGCGTCCTTCAGCCTACTAGCAAGGATGCTCGCGGTGCCGGCAGCCTCGGGACGAGATTCACGACCGACCCAGTTCAACTTATAAATCAGGGAACGGAGGGCTTTGAACTCGGGTTGGGTAAGGGGAGAGGACTTTTGACCCAGTCGACCCCGTTCGAGGCTAATCGTCCTCACCTCCTCCAGTATATACTTTTCCTGGTCGATCGTCGTCTTCTGGGGCCCGAAACTCACGCTGCGGCCAGCGTACTCGACAGGACCGCGGCGACAGTCCCTGTACTTCCCAAACTTGAACCGAGAGACCAAAGTCTCCCGGATCCAGGCTCGGGACGCCTCTGAATTGCTGGCGATAAAGAAGTCGTCGACTTCAAGTAGGATCATGTTGAGAATGGTCCCGTCTGATGCGTACCTGATCCACCAGCAGGGCTCTAGGAGACTGCGCGTGAATGACTGTCCTAAGATACCCTACTATCGTTTTGCGCCAGGCCAGGGGGGCATCGTCCAACCCGTAGACGTTCACCAGCAATCTGATGAGAGACCCCTTTTCAACCTTGATGCCCTCGCATGGTTCCACGTAGATCTCTCCCTGAGCACGGCTCATAGGATCCGATTGGCAGAAGGCATTCTTCACGTCCGCATCATCCCCTAGGTGGCCTAGATTCATCATCACCTGGATGAACATAAGTATGGAAGAAGTCTGGGGGGTGGGAGAGTAGACGAACAGCGTCCCGGTATCCGGATCCTTGTGTCCGTGGACGCACCACCGAGACTTGGCGGTTGGTTCAGAAAACGTGCCCTCTACAGGTTTCCACCGTCGAACCATCCGACTCGTGATGATGCGGTCCGGTCGCTCTCGCCTAATCACCCCCGCCCCCCTAGGCGCTATGATCTCCACAGCACCCGAGTTGGCCATATTTTGCCACTCGGTGTCGTCTGACACTTCAAACTTGCTGCGCTCGGCAGGCGTCAGTCGGTTGAGGCTAACCTCTCCTCCGCGGCTGGCCGCCAGGACCTCAAGATCAGCTCCGCGCTTCTCCTCAACCAAGAGAACGCCCGCCTCCATGGTTTCGACCGCGAATGACACCCAGCCTTCCGGTCGGACCCTCGACTCGATTTCCTGAACCCTACGCCCCACAAAGCCTGGCCCCCCGTCCTCGCCTCTTTCCTCGACGTCGGCAGCAGCAGCACTGGCACTCGGCCCTTCGCTCACTTGGGGAGAGCTGCTGGAAAGACCCAGTCCTGGAGGTGGCTCTATCCTGGCACGCTTGACTTCGACGACCTCGGGAGGACAGCTCGCCGCTCGAGTCTCAGCCTGACGCTGGCGAATACAAGCTGGCACGTCGCTGGGCTGAGGCAGTCTAGATCTCCCTGGCCTGCCGGCTCCACCAGAGGCATCCTCGTTGACGGCGGGAGCGGGCACAGGGTTAGAAGGAAGGAGAGGAGGAGGAGGAGGAGAGGAAGAGATAGGGGGAGCCGGGTCGAGGGTGTCCTCGTCCTCTGGAGTGTCTTGCCTCGTGGGTGGCCCGCCCTCTCCCTGGCCGTCCCCCTCGGAGATGGACGGGAGTCGAGTTCGCTCGGATCCGGCCCGGGCGACCGCAGAGCCCCCGGCCGATGACGGCCGGGACCCGACTCCCCTCGGAGGCCTGGGCCCGATCGGATCGAACCCGCGGTGAACCAGAGCAGGCCCTGGAGGTCTCGCACTCGGAACTTCTCGAGGCGCATCCGGCCGCGGTTCTGGCTCGGGTCCCGGGGGCACCTGAGGCGCCGAGTCCACCTCTGGAGACAGCGGCTGGTCCCACGCTTCGTCGGGGGGGGGACCTTCTCGCTGGACGTCCACCGCCGTCGCTCTCCTGGCCTGGGCCTGGGAGAGAAGCTCGGACCACCGGGGATCCTGGGCAACCTGGATGCCGCATTCCTCCTCGGCACTGGCCAGACGAACCTGTTCTGGAGAGCATTTCCAGAGACGCGCCCGCGCCGCGACCCAGACGGTGCCACGCTCGCACAGGACCACGACCCCGGGACCCGTCCACGCGTCCCGCCTGCGACCCAGGGTGTCGGCCCTCGGACCCGCTTTGGTCAGGCGTCGCCAGACGAAAACCCACTGGCCTGGACGGAACATCGCTTGGTCCTGGCTGGGTCCCCTCGCCTTGGTGGCCTTGGCAACCTTGTCCCGGGCGGTGATCTCTAGAGCCAGGCGACGCGCTCACTCCCTAACACGCTGCGACCGGGCAAACTCTGCGCCCGCGGAGTCGAGCTCCGAGGCCGGTCGTATGGAGTCCTGCCAGCCTGGAAGGCCCATGTGATCATCCGACAGTATTTCGTGTGGCATCCGGGGGTTCTCGCCAAAAACGAGCTGGACCGGAGAAAACCCGCCCCGGTGCCAGAAACGGTTTTTATGGGCACACAGCTCGTAGACAACCTCCTCGAGCTCCCCTACGTCCCCGGGAATGGCAGAACCGGCCTCCACCTCTCCCTTGATCCTGTCTTTGCCCCAGCCTCCGTGTCTCTCGACGCGTCCGTTCTGCCACGGGGAGTTCGCGTCGCACACGTGGTGGAGAACTCCGCGCTGCTCGAGTCCTCGGGCAAACCGACCCTCGAACTCAGAGCCCCCGTCCGACAAAACAAAATGAGGAGCCCCGAAAGGACGGATCCACGCTCTCACGAAAGCCCCCCAAACCTGAGCCGCTGTGGGCTCCTCCACCCGCACACA